CCAGATACTATTAACGTCTTAAGCAGGTGATCTTGATAAGATAAGCGTCACGACTTCTCTCTCTTCATCTTGATCTTGATCTCGATCTATTCTTAATTCTCATAGCAGCACTATTTATAACGAAAGGGTGGTTCTTTGTAACGAAATAAGAAGCAACATTTGAACGAAGAGGTTGCTTGAATATGTACAATAGCAAAAGAAAAGAGAAGTTTATGTCTAGAGATGTTTTAGACGTGATCATTATTTATTTTCAGTGTTAAGCATTAAATTTCACCACTGCTCCGAAAAGTGCCTAGCAGGAATTATTCATTGACAGTAGCAATTTGTTGAAACTGGATATGACATGTACATGTTACGTTTAAGTCTCTTAATGTTAATATCTTTTTGCAATATGAGGACGCATTGCGGATCCCGCGCCGCAGATGATGTTGCAGCTTAGCAAGTATTACATTTACGAAATAATGCAGGATTACGAATGCGTTGCACTGAAGATTAACCTGGAGCTGCGTTCGCTGCTAGCAAACATGAATATCATTTACATAATAAACGAAAAACTGACGAAGGCTTTTAAAGTTTTCAAATTTGGAATGCTTTTTGGCGTTTATATGTATGAACGACATAACAGGAAACGGTGCGGTGTACTGTGCCCAAAAGATAGCCCTCGAATTGAGCTTCTGGAATTAGACATTGCCAAAACTCAACATTCGAAGAGAATTAATTGCGATATAATGCAGCGACTTTTAATCCGGCCTGGATTACGTAATGAGGTGATGTAGTTTCATGAGATGGCGAGGCTCACTGACTTAATGCGCACCAGGGGCCGCGGTATGTGAGTACGAGATTTATCGCAGCCATTATGTGTGTTTCTAGTTCGTGTTTCGGTCCTTCCACCCACCGAATAAATTAAAAATGTAATTAATCCAAACGCTGAAGGAAAATCATTGCTACAAAACTGGAGTTTCTCTGGCAAATTACATTTGACGAAAACTTTTTGATTTATTGCTCGAAAAGTCAAGACAGTAAAATACCGGAAAGAGGCATTTAAATCAAATTGACTCTAAAACACATTTTGACACGCATGAGATGCCTAAAACATAACATCAAAAGAAAGTCAAGGATAATAATAAACAAGAAGTCATAGCAAAAATGGCATCCAAGGAAATGTAGTGTATCGACAGATAGAAACATGTTGACCTATTATGTAACGCTTTCGGAATTTGGCAAAATCTTTCTTCGACCGATTGTCATTGTCTAGATTCCCCATGAAATAGACATTAAATTTTTGGAAAAGGATTTTGGATAATTTTGCAACTTAACAATGCAGTTGGCACTTATTTGTGATTTAGGTTAGGTTAGGTTAGGTTGTGATTTGTGACTTAGGTTCAACCACAGAATAAACATTAAAGAATGGCTTACACTGATCTACTAATACCCAATAGAAGGTTAGTTAGCAATTATGGGTAAATTATTGCTTAAAAATTTTTATTCCTGAAGGTGCGCCATATAACTTTTTTTGTAAAGATGTTAAACAAATGAAATACTTCGAAGTGGTCTGTATTCTGTCGAAACTGCCAGTCGCGGATCACGATTTCGATCTCTTTGGATCTCATCAGCGCGTCGCAGACAGCTCCGACAGAACACAGACCAACTTTTACCTGCTGTCTTAACAGCGCGTTTTAGAAAATACCACAAATGGCGCGGTAAACGCCATCTGTAGTACGATGCTACATTTGCTCGAACAAGGTCCAATTAAATATATGGATATCTACTTGCTTAAAACGAATCCCGGCGTAGCTAAACTCAACGTGATAGGCACGTTACCATAATCGAATAAAATAATTCGAAGTGGTCTGTATTCTGAATACATAATCCTAAAATGTAGCATTGTACTACCGCGCCATTTGTGGTATTTTCTATTTTAAATAAAACATTATAGATTGAGAGACTCTAATAATCAGGAACAACAGCTTGGGTTTTAATGTTTTACTTCGTTTATATTTTTTGACAAAGTACTAACTTTTAATGTGAGTGCTTGCTTCTGATACGATTAAATGTTAAAAAGTTTGTTCATTATCGGCAGATGAATCTTCAAAACTGTTACACGAACGTATGTACTCAACGGCTTATGTGTATAGGTAGTTATCAACTTTGAAGGACAAAAACAAACGATCCCATAGCAGTCCAACTCAAAGTTTGTTAAGTAATTCGCTATAAATTCGATTTGTGAAGAGCTGTCATACCCAGATAAGTTACGACGATAGAGCTATTAAGGGAAGTCGATTATCAAGTTGTTGACTCTGTGCAAATTGGGACGTTACAACATGCTAATTCATCAACAGATTAGGATAAATGAGTTTATTTACATATCCCTGTAGCTAAAACTTTCCAAAGCTAACTCTCTTTTAACCGGAGCTAGCCGAAGGTGGTAATGAGGTAGAGCAGCCTTTTCCCCCATTATTTGAATTTTAGAAGTTTACATGCTTGAAATACAGAATCTTCGTAAAATTTTCGTGTAGGTAATTATCAATTATCCTCAGGGGGTAGTAGTAGTAGTAGTTTGTATGCCCGAATGTTCACCGTTTTCGTGAAAAACGTAGTTGAAGGTGCAGGTAAATTTAATTCCGGTCCTGATAAACCCGTAAATTTTCTTTCTTTTGTACATTTACATAATGCTGCCTGTAATGCACTTATTTAATTTATTTATAGGATTGTTCGGAAAGTCATTTCGTTTTTTCCCGACAGAGGATTTAATTGTATTCTTTTGCACCTAACTTCACATTTAAGCCGTATAATTTTTATATGCTTTGAGAGCTCATGTAGCAAGGCTTGTGTGTGAAAAATTCTAATTAATTCTACGCAGTAGTTTTTGGTTGGTGCCCTTTTAAATATGGAGAGCGATAAGCAGCATTTTCGACATATCTTACTGTTTTACTACAGAAAGGGTAAAAATGCTGTTCAAGCCAGAAAGAAATTGACTGATGTGTATGGAGAAGGTGTGTTGACAGTACGCCAGTGCTAGAACTGGTTCGCTAAATTTCGATCCGGCAATTTTGATGTCGAAGATGCACCACGTTCGGGAAGGCCGGTTGAAGCTGATAAAGACGCGATAAAGGCATTAGTTGATGTGAACCGGCGAATAACAACACGTGAGATCGGATTGAGGTTAAATTTATCAAATTCAACAGTTTATGACCACTTGAAAGGCCTGGGATTATCCTTGAAGCTCGATGTATGGGTTCCCCATGTTCTCACAGAGAGAAATTTGTGTTTCCGCATTGACGTCTGCGATTCGCTTCTCAAACGTCACGAAAATGATCCGTTTTTGAAGCGCATCATCACTGGGGACGAAAAATGGGTTGTATACAACAACGTCAAACGCAAGAGGTCATGGAGCAAAAAAGATGAACCGGCTCAAACCATTTCCAAAGCCGATATTCACCAAAAAAAGGTGATGCCGTCTGTTTGGTCGGATTTTAAAAGGAACCGTTTTTTTTTTTGAGCTTTTACCGGATAACACAACGATTAATTCGGAAGTCTACTGTCATCAGCTGGACAAACTAAATGATGCACTTCAAAGGTCAGAACTAATCAACAGGAAAGGTGTAGTGTTTCACCAAGACAACGCGAGACCTCACACAAGTTTGGTCACTCGCCAAAAGCTTTTACAGCTTGAATGGGATACAATGCTACACCCACCATATTCTCAAGACCTGGCACCATCGGATTATTATTTGCTCCAGTCACTCCAAAATTTTTTAGACGGTAAAACCTTCACCTCAAATGAGGAGGTCAAAAACCTCCTCGATCAGTTTTTTGCCAGCAAAGACAAATATTTTATGAGCGTGGAATTATGCTACTACCAGAAAGATGGCAAAAGGTGTTGGACCAGAACGGTCAATATATAATTTAATAAAGTATTTGTTTATTATACGAAAACTGTCTTTCATTACCACAAAAAAAAACGAAATGACTTTCCGAACAACCCTGTAGTTTAAACATTATGTATAATACTCAATTGTTTCTGCTTATCTTAGACGTTTGATAATCGGCAGTGTTTACATTCTCCATCCATGTAGCTGCAGTATTATGATGTCATTTCACGCACAGGGCTGACTTCGCATTGTAGATTATTGAAATTTTGTTTCTCTGCACTTATTTCTGTTACGCCCCGTATATATACCAATAGGTATTGGTACGTATTGTCCATATTTCATTGGGTTGTTGGACATAACTACCAGATAGAATTTAAATCCAAATGTATAGATTAATTTATGGTTCACTTAAAAGTAATCTAGTTTTAATGCGACCCACTTTTACAAACAAATAAAGAAGGGGTTATAAAAAGACCTGTAGACATTTTTCTCAATCAATAACAGGTGGCAACTAAAAAGAACATAAAATTTTTAGTATTACTTTTATTATCATTAGTTTATTAAAATTGTTTACAGTAATTTGCATTTGTGCCTATGGTCCACTGATGTTCATCAACTATCAATTAAAATCATAATCTCTATATATATAAAACTATATTCCTCTTCTTCTTTTATATTCTTCCTATAAATATTTTTCTCTTGTTTAATTTTAAATAATAAAACGACTCTATCAATAGGCCAAAATTTTGTAACACAAGCAGTGAATGGTATTACATAAACATACAACTACTAGTATATCTACATTCAGATAACTGTAATAAATTATCTGGTGTATGGTTTAGTACAACACATAATTGATACATGAAATACTGTCTATATGTCTCAATTTAACAATGTCTCTCATAGGTTTCATGATGTATTTTGAAGCCTTTCGCTGGTTCAACTAGTTCAAAGAGTGTTTTAGTGATTTCCATTTACTATACAAGTTTAAATTTCACATGATTTTATTTCAAACCTTAGGTAGTTACTAAACAAAAATGATTTAACAATGTGTAATGAAATTATCGAAGCGCTAAATGTTTCTTTAAACTTCTTAAACTGTTTTAAAAATGTTAGAAAGTAACCTACCATTGTTTCATAACCCAGACCAGCGACGTAAGCCTACGACAATCAACCAGTCGGTCAGTAACCGTTTCGAAAATCGGATAAACAAAAAAATTTTCGACCGCACTGTAAAGTTCTCGCGTTTTTCGTTGTCATGTCATCCCTGGCTGTTTTCGCGCAACAACACTGGAGAGCGAGCAGTTCGACGTGACGTCTCGAATTTCCCGGACCCGAATGCAAACAGCAGCAGCAGCGCCCTGCCTTCCACCACGTTGGTGCTACTGCTACCCTGGAAACGACGCGACAGGCCCTACGACGCTCGACGACGCTGGCGCTTCGACCTCCATTTTCAGTTCACACTTTTTTCGACCTGCTTCTCCCCAAAACTCTCTCGAACTTTCCGAGCCACATGTCCGTCTCTTGGTTCGACAGAAAACATTTGCAAAAACTCCACGTGCCCATTATAATAACAATAATAATAATAATAATAAAGAATAATAATAACGGATCAATTGGCGGGACCCAGACGTCTTATTATTCTCTAACAAACACATATCGATCTTTTTTTGCACTTTGCCGCCTGCTGTTTTCAAAATGAACGCCTGCCAAGGCTCGACAAGTATAACATTTCTCTTAGCGTTTTGTTGTGTGCGTCTTTCGAGTATTTGTCGGAGCAACCGCGAATTGTACCAGAAGAAACCATTAGCGAACATTTACGTCAACTTTGCCTTTTAAAGGATTACTGTCCAAAAGGAAAGTTTAGCGGCCACACTGCTAGTGCTTTCTAGAAGTAACAAACAATTATTAAAACAAAAATCGAAATTAACTACATTACCAAAAAAAAACCAAAGATGTAGTATCTACTTAAATTTTGTGGTTATTAAATCCAGAAAGTTCTGATCGGTAATCTGTCAAAATTGTCAGACTTCAAACTGTTTGTCTCTCATCAGCACTACTTAGAGAGCTTCAAAAGAACATCATCATCATAAGGTCGTCAGTCCTAAGACTGGTTGGACACGTACCTCGACTCTTTCCTATCCTGAGCTAAACTTCACACTTCTCTAAAACTATATAGAACAGCCCACATCTTTAACTATTTGCGAACAGTAATCTGATCTAGGTCTATCTCCACCCCTCTTAACTCCTGTTTCTGCCTTTCAAGAGAACACCGACCAACATATCTGCTACCATTAATGAGAAAGGATATTTATTTGTCAAACTGTTATTGGCTACTATACTTTCTTAAATTACCAACGAAACTATTAAAACAAAGAAGGGGTGTGATTATTGTAGTTAGTAAAAAGGGTTATTTCACCTACAATCTGTTAAGTACCTACCTCTGATACACTACCTATTGTTGATTGATCTTTCCATGCTTTGATAATTGGTAGATCAATTACAGGTGTAAAATCAACTGGTCTCATTGGAAAACATTTTCCGAGTATTATGTCAGTCGTATTTTCAAATGCAAATTCAATTCTAAAAAAATATAGATGCCAACGTGAATGTCAGTAATGATTTCGGGTCAGCTAGAAGATCGTATTCCAAAAAAAATGATTGAAAAGGAACGCGGCATGTACAACATTTTGAAACAATGTACTGGACACACATATTTTGCATTAATAGTTGCATATGCATATGAAAAAGCTTTCAGCAAAATGGATGCCGCGTTAACTCACGATCGATCAAAATTGAGAACAAATGAACACATGAAAGAGTGTTCGGAACACAGAACAATCTAGACGACTTTCTGTACCGATTCGTATCAACTGTCGACGAAACATGGAACCACCATTACTCGTCCGAAATAATAAAAGACCAATCAACGAATAGGTCGGTATTTACTTGTAAGAGTGCTTCTTCGAAGTCATAAAAGATGATTCCTTGAGCTACCAGGAGTACAACCATTATCTTTTTAGCGCTATTCAATCCCCTGAATAATGAAATCAAATAAAACACTATAGAGAGATGTGAACGCAAAAATGCCATTAAAGAAACAAATGTGTCTAATAAATAGTTGGGTCTGTACATATTAGACACATTAAGTGGTATTTTATCTTTTGATTTCGTACGAAACTCAATTATATTATCATGAAGCGCTAAATCGTGTAATAAATCTGCCGTATCAATTTAAAAACCTTTATCGTATTATATTCTCGTAAAATATATGACCAATCGCATATTTTTCCGTATAAAGCGTCGCGTTTACAGTATGAAAAGTCGTTTAGGGTGGCTAAAGAAATCGTTAACTAAAAATTTAAGTGTTCTACACCAAAGCGGCAATTTTCTTAATTAAATTTGCCCAGCATTGATTACGAAAACTTTGCTAAAAGATATTACTTACTCACTACTCCGCTACTTAGTAATTAATTACTTTATTCCCAAAAGTGAATTAAAGATGTCTCGGTAATGGTTGGTAATTAATGAAATTATCAGCGACCAAGATGATAAAATCTGATGGCTTTTCGAGAAAAGTTGTTATTCGAGATATTTTGTAGAGTTTCTTTGATTGCCTTTTAATCGATCATTAAAATTAATTCCCATAAAAAAAATTAAAAATAAAATTTTCGAATGCAATGCGATTACGAAGCATGCAGACTCCTTTTAGGACTGTAGGTTGCGATTATGTGATTAGGAAAATAGATGGATTCTAGCCTAATCTAATTTGTGGCACCACGTCACTCGTCACAATAATGCGATTTGTATTGATTACAACGATGTTAAAATGTTAAGCAAAAATTAAAATGAAGCATTATTATTGATGACTTTATAATTACTGGAAATTTGACTACTGTGTACTTTTTACCTCATCGTGGATTAATTAGGCAAATAATGGGGCCTTCATGTTCCACAGGTAATATTTCATTTATCTTTTGTCCTAATTTAGTCCATCCAAAGGAGGTTGAAGAGGACCACTGTCAAGTAGCCTTTTTCTTTTGTAGTTCTCAGTTAGGATTCTATTTCTTACGTCTTTTTACGTAGAATGACGGCATATAGGACCACAAGTCTGCACACGGAATTTATTTCATTCATAAAGGGGTTATCACAGCAAATGAAAAAGCAACAATGAAATTGTCACAATGGTTAATAGGTGTTATAATTTTAAATGAAGGTGTGATAAGTTTTGGGTTTATCCTGACGCAAAAACTTACCCTTTCATAAGCTTCTTTTTGATTTTGAAAGAACTAGTTGACTATACGATTTCGCATTTCAAACAGAGACGGATAGGTATTTACCAAGTCAGCACAATCCTCTTTTCTAGAATATTGAGATTAAAGGAGATCTGACATTGGCACTCAATGCATTTCTGAGTAGAATAAAAGACTTTTGATATACGGAATACGGAAGGATTTAACCGATCGTTTATCGACTTTTATGAGAGCGCCTATTTGAATATTTGCTCTACTGAAGGTGCTTATTGTGAAGCTTAACAATTTGACATCATCATTGATCTGTCTATGTCTTCAATTTCAATTAAAAATTTACACGAAAAATACTCAGGTATTTCAGTACCAGCCATAGTCGTATAAGTATTAAACATGATGTTAGTTGTACAAAATTTATTGTTAGGGATATGAACCTTGACGAAACTCTGGTACAAACTAGAGTGGGTGGATCGGCTTGCGAGTTTCGATGATTTAGACAGCCGGACCATAGGCTCAACCATAATGGGGGGGGGGTCTCAAAGAGAAACCAGACTAAGAGAAGTTCCTGAAAGAGGGCAGAAGCTCTTTCAGTACTCAGGGTGGCAGAGATCACGAGGATTAGTATGACACTCTGATGGCCAATACTGCGATGTGGAAGGCAACGGGAAACCACCACACTATGATATCCCAAGAAAAGCAAACCGAACTCAAATGATAGCGTTCTCTGGGGTAAAGCATTCCGGACGTAAACTAGCCCCCCCCCATTCGAATGTCCGGGCGGGGACTGCCTGCCTGGGGGGATGTCATCAAGAAGTGCAATAAGGGTAGGTGCAATATTTCACGATTTCAGGCATGAAAGTCTAGTCAGAGACATACTAGAGGCAGAAACGAAAGTTAGGAGGGGTAGAGGTAGACCTAGATTAGATTACTGTTCGCAAATAGTTAAGGATATGGATTCTTCTAGTTTTAGGGAAATGCGAAAATTAGCTCAGGATAGGAAAGAGTGGAGGTGCGTGTCCAACCAGTCTTAGGACTTACGACTTTATGATGATGATGATATATACAATTGTAATTCATAAAACGCTATCTAAAAGCAGCAGGGAGAGTTAGTTTGTATTCTGTACGAACTGTGTATGGGGTGTTGACGAGATCCAATGACGAATTAGTAAATGGTTTCGCGGCCAGTAAATGAACTAATTCGGGTCTAAAGGCTATCGTCGGTTGGAGTTGGTTCCTAACGTTTCGGTAGCACAAGTGGCGAGTTTCTTCAGAGTTCTTTCCATCGCCGACGCTGCATGTGGACTCGTGCTAGCAAAACTTTAGGAAGCAACTCCAACCGACGACGGCATTTAGATGAGATCGAAATCTCGATCTATGTCTGACGGTTTCTACAGAATGTTGACCACCATGAAGTTTTCGTTAAATCTTGTCGATTTTCTTGTTATATCAAGCATTTTCATTTTGTCCACGAAGATCATCATTTATCAGATAATAGGGTAACGTTGTAACTATTTTTTTCTCCCTACTTCAAAATTGACTTGTGGATAACATAAGTATATTGGACTATGATTTACATACTTTTAGAGTAGTCCCGTAGTAATAGATACATTTGGTCAACATCTAAACAATGAAACTCCTTCCCATTTGCATTCTCATCCATCATTTTAAGAACTCTGCTTTGCAGTCTTCTAAGAGAAGAAAGGGGATACATCAATCCCATCCGATATGATGACCAAATATTATCACTATGAATATTTAGTATTAAGGAAGTACATGCAAATTTTGGTCATTTTATATAAATAATGCGAACCACTTAGGTACATTGTGACTCATGGAGACTACACATAAAGATAACAAATGCATAGGGGAATTTTAAGAAGTATATCCATACACTTTCCCAAATAAGAAGACACTGGTGGTTCATTTTGTACCTACCGATGTGAATTTACTATCATAAATCATATACAAATGGAACATTAGCGTCCTCTTCTTTGGGAAAATATTCGTACAAGTATTGCATGGATTCGCTGTCCTACAGTAGTCTCCATGATTGTAATCACTAAAACAAGTAAATAAAATAAACATACCAAATGTAAGTTTGGTATTGAATATGTATATTTTCTACAGTTAGGACCTATATTGTGTTGTCTGTCATTAGTTTCTCTTATCCATCACAAGCATTATCCAATTGCAAGAAAGATTTTTGTTGGGGCTAGCAGTGACCTCCACACACCAGTTGGTGGAAGTAACAACTGGAAAATCTTCGAAGCAGTAGCGACCTCTCAGGCTTTCTGTAACATATAGGTATACTACATACAGAAAAGCAATAGGAAAACGATTTATCAAGTGGCCTTCTACCTTTTTTTTGAAACATCTCGTTTCATTTTTAAATAGTTGATCTCTAATTAAACTCCAAATTCAAAGGCAGTTTTTAATCATGTATTGTAATTGAAAAAAGGTTTTCCACCAAAGCCAATACCTTATAGTAGAACAGGAAAGGAAAATATAAATACAAATAGTACCACTAATTCTGCCTTCATTATTAAACAAAATTAAAGATTCATTTTTCCACTTTCATGTAGTTAACTGTATAAAGCTTTATTTTTGACTGTTAATTAGTCCAAAATCGCCCCTTTGTAAGAAAATTTTCTTCATTTGATAAGCCAATTCTGAACATTTCTCTTCTAAGCAATCGTCCAATTCTAACTAAAATATTATGTAAATGTATGTTTACGAACAAATGTTGTCTGGTCCACAGTTTTAGTTCAGTATTATACATATTTTTATACATATATCGTATTAATTGACTTTGTGATTTCCGTTATCTGTGAAGGACACTTCGAAATCGTGAGCCTAGTCATCATCTTGCAGCAAAAAACCTGTTTGCTTGTATTGTAGTAGATATAGGTACATGTTGATAAGAGAATTCTATTCCACACAATTGTGAATAATTTACAACTCAGAATTTAATAATTGCGGATATCTTTCATTGCAAAATTTACAAAAATTAGGAGCAATTGCCTTTGCGCATACGCATTTGTAATAGGTACTCAGATTTACAAAAAATGTGATAGTTCTCTGAAAATTAAAAGCAACCGGTAATATATTTCATGAACTTTAACAAATGATTAACTTTATGAAAAACAATAAGTACTTTATGCAATATTACCTTACCTCAAAAGAAATGTTGCGCTTTCGTCTTTGATAACAGGGAAAATCCCGGATATGATAAAAATATATACTTTGCTCTTTTGTGATGGGGTAGGAAGTAAGAAACATATTAACTTATCCGAAAAAAAAACCAATTATCCCACCAGATTACCTTTCAATTATTTTTCATCTATCCTATGCTATCCTTACATCTATTTTATGAAGAATTTTTCGGCGTCTTTACCAATTTAAAGTGAATTAATTTTTAGATACAAAGTAGACGTGTAAATGTTTGCAATTTTGTTATATGGGGAACAATCCCAAAAATGACCATACCAAGTTTGAAAATTCTTTCATCATTTGAAAGCTGCACTGTTCCAAATGATCACAGCCAATTTTTGATTTTTAAATAGAATAAGGTTGTGCCAAAAACATGGAATATATTTTACATCGTACTATTAGGTCGAGCGTAGATTCCATCCTTTATTCTCCTAATACTCACTCTTTCTACTGATGGAATGCTGTAACGAAAAATCGAGAGTTAAACATTCTGCCAATTTTGATATAACAACAAGTAAAAATTTATTTTAAAAATGAATACACTATTTTTGAACGAATTAGAATTACAGTTTTCTTGTTTGTGCTTAGATATTTGCAGAAAATGTAAAGACAAAATGTAAAACTTTGTAATTTTGTTATGTGGGGAGCAACCCCAAAAATCATCAAGTCTGAAATTTCTATCACTGTTTGAAAGCTGTACTATTGTATAGTAGATCATTATAGTTAATTTTTAAATAATTTAAAATTTTGTTAATAATTGGCAGTATATTTTACTATGTCGAAAGTATCTTCCGTATTTTATTCTCCGAATACTAGCTCTTTGTGCTAACGGAATGCTCTAACGATCTGTGGAGAACTATCATTTTGCCCGTTTTCATATAAATTACAACTAAATAGTTATATTAAAAGTGAATACGTTATTCTTGGACTGATTATATTTACAGGTTTTTTATCTATGCTCTGATATATACAGATATTGTAAAGAGAAAGTGTGACCTTGTTTAGTTCGTTATATCTAAATAATAATGAATACCTAATCTTGAAGGCTACTAAATCGAGTGTGAAAAATTCATTGTTTCAAAACAATGCTGTTTCAAATTATTACAGCCTATTTTTAAGAAAGTATTTTAAGTTATTGTCAAAAACATTATGTTCCTAGTGTGTAGTTCCAATAGTCTCCGTAGTCAAGCTCTTTGAATGCGCTAGCAGTACTTTGCTTATATTAAATTTCAAAATTCTGTCGTTCTTACCTGTTCAGGTACAGAAATATTTTGTAAAATCGATACAACAGTACAAAAATAATAAACAACAGTCAAGTTGTTAAAAATTAGCAATAAAGCTAAATGAACATTAGACATTAAATTAGCTTAAAAAAAGGTTTTGCTATTTTAGGTGTGCATGATTTCTGATGATTTTAAAAAAGGGTGAAAAAATGTTTTCAAAAGATATAGTCAGTGCAATATTTTTTTTATAAATAGAGCTTTTAATGTGATAATATTAATGGTAAAATTATATCCGGTGAGCTTTTTATGTTTAATTTTTATTCTCCAAATGTCGTGCATATTGAAGGCGTTTTTATTCATTAAAAACTGTCTATATGTAGACTGAACATCTTTTAAAGTAACATTTATTTAAACGTAAACAACATTTCCGTTCAACTTAATGGCATTTTGTCATTTTCTGTCATGTAAAATTCATAGTCTTGGAATTTCATCATTCAGATGTTTTTACGACAGTTTAAACATTACTATGAACATATTCTTTCGGTTTTATTCGGCTTATAATTACGTTGTTTAAACAACTTCGTTAATGAATATATCTTATCATGGTTTTGCCTTCGGTTCAAATCGTAGGACTCGGGCTTAGTCTTCATCATGTTGCTTTGTGTAAAAGACGATGGGTCGTGAGTTTGTTTGATAATAAAATAATATGAACGATTTCGATTAATATCAAGGTGATTTTGTGTATTTTTCGTTGTAAAGATTCAAGTATATTATTGTACCTATCGGTGCGAGAGCTCAGGACTTATTTTTTACCCATTAAGGATTACTTGCTGTGGTGAAAAGCTTTTATTTGTTGGATTGTCATGGAATATTTTTAAGGACTGGCACTTACCACAATTACAAAAGGTAGGCATTTTATTTCATCATTAATAGGCTTTTGAATTCTTTATGGGTAGAAGGACATTTAGCCCCTTTTTAATTTAAATGTTAATTAATACGATATCTTTAGATAAAATTTAAGTTATACTTTTCCTACCAATACTATTATTACAAAGAGAAATGTAGGTTTGTTTATTTAGTTGTGTAACTCGAAAATTAGTGAATCGAGCTTTTAAGCATTTTATTGTTTGAAAGGTAAATAAGTAACACTTCTCCGTATTGTGATAGCATTTCTAATATGTGATCGAGAATAGGAAGAAAATATTTTGCTTGTTTGAATATAGAAAGCAATTAAATATTTATTGCAAAAATTAATATGTAAATAAGCTTACTTTTCTAATCTCGCATCCGAATTATGCTTCAATTCAACATAACTACAGAAAATACCACAGTCAAGTATGTGAAATTTTAGTGTTTTAAATCAATTGTAAAAATATATTGATATGACCAAATTTTTAAGATTTGTTTTCACTAAAATGTATTCTGATTGCACAACTGAAAATTCCTTCTACAAATATTTTCAAAATTACTATTAGAGTGCATTACGTACAAAAAAAGTTCATATTTTTCATTTTTTGTGCTTTAAAAAGTAATAAAAGTGTAACTGTTCACCACTCTTTTTCGCATTTGAACGGTATATAAGGCAGCCTTTGTTCTATAGTCTGGTAATACGGTCGCAGATTGTAGGTTGACTGCGTAGACGCTGAGTGAGGGTACCTATAGCAAAGCGTTATTAGGTGGAATAGGCCAAACGGGTGTATTATAACCCTGTATTTTCCACTGTTCCTGTCATCGGTTACTCATCGAAATTCGACTTCTCAGGTATCCTTCATACGAAGAGTTCGTTGTGGAGCTGAGAGGCGGGTTTCGGCGTTTAACTGGTGGCAGGAGGAATGTAAAATGCGGATTTTTTGTACTTTTTCACAGTAAAATTTTATAGTTTTCTACTTTAGTGCAACTTTATGAATAACGGAATGACTTTATTAATATAGAACCGAGTTTATGTATTTTTTCATTGTTTAGTGGTTAAACCATCCCATTGCAGATAGAATTTAGAATTAGAATTCATTTAAAATAATTAGAAATTGACAGTATATTACGTTTCCACTCAGCGCATTTTTGTAGTGCATACTCACTTTTCTACATAAATTAATTCTGGAACGATCAAATAAATTTTTGATTCAAAACTTAACACTATAATTTTCGAATTTCTCTGAATATATTTGTTATAAAAAATAATACGAAAATTTCTATACATTGTACAGGTATTAGCTCTCGTTTTAATAAAGTAATAAAAGGGCATTTTAGAAATAATTACTTTAATTTTTGGACAAACTAAACTTAATTTTCTCATCTACAATAACAGGGAGAAAATATGCGTTTGTTATCTAATCCAAACTTGATACAACTGGTTTTGCATCAACCTTTAAATAACGTAGATAATGCACCCCAAAGTGACGTTGGTTTTTGATAGTTGACTATAAGTTCATATTTTTGGCTGGCCATTTGGCACATTTAGGAATAGAGAATGAAATTTCTGGACATACCGTTTTATTCGTCTGGATATGTTCATCCTGACTAATACAACTGGTTTTTCATCAACCCTTAAATAACGTAGAAAATGCACCCCAAAGTGACGTTTGTTTTCCTAAATTGATTGAAAGTTCACATTTTTGCGTGACTGATAAAGCTGGTTTTGCATTAACCTTTCTATAACGCAGAAAATGCACCCCAAAGTGACGTTTGTTTTTGATAATTGACTGTAAGTTCAAATCTTTGGGTGGCAATTTGGCACATTTGGGAATGGCGAATGAAATTTCTCGACATACTCTTTTATTCGTCAGGATGTGCTCTTCCTGACTAATGCAACTGGATTGTATTCAACCCTTAGATAACGTAGAAAGTGCACCCCAAAGTGACGTTCGTTTTTATAAATTGATAGAATGTTCACATATTTGCGTGCCAATTTGGCACGTTTAGAGTGTACGCTTCTGGAATTATTCCGCATATCGTTTTATTCGCCAGGACGTGTTCTTCCTGACTGATAATGCTGGCTTGGCATAAAGCTTTAAATAACGTAGAAAATGCACCCCAAAATGACATTTGTTTTTGATAATTGACTATAAGTTCATATTTTTGCGAGCCAATTTGACACATTTAGGAATGGTGAATGAAATTTCTGGACATACTGTTTTATTCATCAGGATGTGCTCTCCCTGACTGATCAATCCGGTTTTGCATTATCCTTTAAATAAAGTAGAAAATGCACCCCAAAGTGGCGTTTGTTTTTGATAATTGACTATAGGTTCATTTTTTTGCGAGACTATTTGGCACATTTAGGAATGGAGAATGAAATTTTAGGGCATACCGTTTTATTCGTCTGGATATGCTCTTCCTGACTAGTACAATTGGTTTTTCATCAACCCTCAAATAACGTAGAAAATGCACCCGAAAGTGACGTTTGTTTTTCTAAATTGATTGAAAGTTCACATTTTTGCGTGCCAATTTGGCACATTTAGAGGACGTTTCTAGAACTTCACCCCATACCGTCTTATTCACCAGGGCGTCCTCTTCCTGACTGATAAAGCTGGTTTTGCATTAACCTTTCTATAACGCAGAAAATGCACCCCAAAGTGACGTTTGTTTTTGATAATTGACTGTAAGTTGATATCTTTGGGTGGCAATTTGGCACATTTGGGAATGGTGAATGAAATTTCTCGACATACCCTTTTATTCGTCAGGATGTGCTCTTCCTGACTGATCAATCCGGTTTTGCATTATCCTTTAAATAACGTAGAAAATGCACCCCAAAATGACATTTGTTTTTGATAATTGACTATAAGTTCATATTTTTGCGAGCCAATTTGACACATTTAGGAATGGTGAATGAAATTTCTGGACATACTGTTTTATTCATCAGGATGTGCTCTCCCTGACTGATCAATCCGGTTTTGCATTATCCTTTAAATAAAGTAGAAAATGCACCCCAAAGTGGCGTTTGTTTTTGATAATTGACTATAGGTTCATTTTTTTGCGAGACTATTTGGCACATTTAGGAATGGAGAATGAAATTTTAGGGCATACCGTTTTATTCGTCTGGATATGCTCTTCCTGACTAGTACAATTGGTTTTTCATCAACCCTCAAATAACGTAGAAAATGCACCCGAAAGTGACGTTTGTTTTTCTAAATTGATTGAAAGTTCACATTTTTGCGTGCCAATTTGGCACATTTAGAGGACGTTTCTAGAACTTCACCCCATACCGTCTTATTCACCAGGGCGTCCTCTTCCTGACTGATAAAGCTGGTTTTGCATTAACCTTTCTATAACGCAGAAAATGCACCCCAAAGTGACGTTTGTTTTCCTAAATTGATTGAAAGTTCACATTTTTGCGTGACTGATAAAGCTGGTTTTGCATTAACCTTTCTATAACGCAGAAAATGCACCCCAAAGTGACGTTTGTTTTTGATAATTGACTGTAAGTTCAAATCTTTGGGTGGCAATTTGGCACATTTGGGAATGGCGAATGAAATTTCTCGACATACTCTTTTATTCGTCAGGATGTGCTCTTCCTGACTAATGCAACTGGATTGTATTCAACCCTTAGATAACGTAGAAAGTGCACCCCAAAGTGACGTTCGTTTTTATAAATTGATAGAATGTTCACATATTTGCGTGCCAATTTGGCACGTTTAGAGTGTACGCTTCTGGAATTATTCCGCATATCGTTTTATTCGCCAGGACGTGTTCTTCCTGACTGATAATGCTGGCTTGGCATAAAGCTTTAAATAACGTAGAAAATGCACCCCAAAATGACATTTGTTTTTGATAATTGACTATAAGTTCATATTTTTGCGAGCCAATTTGACACATTTAGGAATGGTGAATGAAATTTCTGGACATACTGTTTTATTCATCAGGATGTGCTCTCCCTGACTGATCAATCCGGTTTTGCATTATCCTTTAAATAAAGTAGAAAATGCACCCCAAAGTGGCGTTTGTTTTTGATAATTGACTATAGGTTCATTTTTTTGCGAGACTATTTGGCACATTTAGGAATGGAGAATGAAATTTTAGGGCATACCGTTTTATTCGTCTGGATATGCTCTTCCTGACTAGTACAATTGGTTTTTCATCAACCCTCAAATAACGTAGAAAATGCACCCGAAAGTGACGTTTGTTTTTCTAAATTGATTGAAAGTTCACATTTTTGCGTGCCAATTTGGCACATTTAGAGGACGTTTCTAGAACTTCACCCCATACCGTCTTATTCACCAGGGCGTCCTCTTCCTGACTGATAAAGCTGGTTTTGCATTAACCTTTCTATAACGCAGAAAATGCACCCCAAAGTGACGTTTGTTTTTGATAATTGACTGTAAGTTGATATCTTTGGGTGGCAATTTGGCACATTTGGGAATGGTGAATGAAATTTCTCGACATACCCTTTTATTCGTCAGGATGTGCTCTTCCTGACTGATCAATCCGGTTTTGCATTATCCTTTAAATAACGTAGAAAATGCACCCCAAAGTGACACTTGTTTTTGATAATTGACTATAAGTTCATATATTTGCGAGTCAATTTAGCACATTTAGGAATGGAGAATGAAATTTCTGGACATACCGTTTTATTTGTCTTGATGTGCTCTTCCTGACTAATACAACTGGCTTTTCATCAACCCTCAAATAACGTAGAAAATGCACCCCAAATTGACGTTTGTTTTTCTAAATTGATTGAAAGTTCACATCTTTGCGTGCCAATTTGGCACATTTACAGGACGTTTCTGGAACTCCACCACATATCGTTTGATTCGTCAGGACGTGCTCTTCCTGACTGATAATGCCGGCTTGGCATAAAGCTTTAAATGACGTAGAAAATGCACCCCAAAGTGACATTTGTTTTTGATAATTGACTATAAGTTCATATTTTTGCGAGCCAATTTGGCACATTTAGGAATGGTGAATGAAATTTCTGGACATACTGCTTTATTCGTCAGGTTGTGCTCTCCCTGACTGATCAATCCGGTTTTGCATTATCCTTTAAATAAAGTAGAAAATGCACCCCAAAGTGACGTTTGTTTTTGATAATTGACTATAGGTTCATATCTTTGCGAGCCAATTTGGCACATTTAGGAATGGAGAATGAAATTTCTGGGCATACTGTTTTATTCGTCTGGATGTGCTCTGCCTGACTAGTACAACTGGTTTTTTATCAACTCTCAAATAACGTAGAAAATACACCCGAAAGTGACGTTTGTTTTTCTAAATTGATTGAAAGATCACATCTTTGAGTGCCAATTTGGCACATTTAGAGGACGTTTCTGGAGCTTCTCCGCATATCGTTTTATTCGCCGGGACGTGCTCTTCCTGACTGATAAAGCTGGTTTTGCATCAACCTTTAAATAACGTAGAAAATGCACCCCAAATCGACGTTTGGTTTTGATAATTGACTATAAGTTCATATTTTGCGTGCCAATTTGGCCCATTTAGAAATGGTGAATGAAATTTTTGGACATACCGTTTTTTTTGTCAGGATGTGCTCTTCCTGGCTGATCACACTGGCTTTACATTACCCTTTAAATAACGTAGAAAATGCATCCCAAATTGACGTTTGTTTTTCTAATTTGTTTTGAAGTTCACATTTTGGCGTGTCAGTTTGGCAAATTTGGAATACGTTTCTGGAATTTCGGCGGATATCGTTTTATTCGCTTGGATGTGCTCTTCCTGACTGATAAAACTGATTTTATATTTTAATAATTTTGAAATGACGTAGAAAATGCACCCCAATGTGACGTTTGTTTTTGGTATTTGATTGTAAGTTCATATTTTTGATTTGGCCTTTTCTATTTACAGTGTGCACATCGTAAAGGAACTAATCCACGGAATTAGGGGATGATACTTCGAAAGGTGTGTTATACTTGTTGTTCACTTTAGATCTTATTTTAAATCTTCTTTTAGGTCTATTTAAAACAAATTTACTTCTTTTTTTTTAGATTTTGATCTTTTAAATTTACAGGGGGCACATCACAAAAGAACTAATCACAGGAATGAGGGAATGACATTTCAAGGAACGGTAAGGCTTATATTTTTTATTCACTTTAGTCCTTATTTTAATTCTATTATTGAATAAAATTATGTCTTTGCTTTACTGAAATCTTTTACTTCTGTTTTACAGTAATTTTGACATTTTTTATTTACAGGGAGCACATCACAAAGGAACTAATCCAAGGAATGAGGGGATGATACTTCAAGGTGTGTAAGAGTTATACTTCTTATTCACTTTAGATCTCATTTTAAATCTTCTTTTAGGTCTATTTAAAACAAATTTACTTCTTTACATTATTCAAATAATTTCTTTCTGTTTAACATTAATGTAGATCTTCTTCAAGAAATGATGAAGTGACTTTTCAAGGAATGGTAAGAATTATGTTTTTTATTCACCTTTGGTTTTATATAGGACTATTGTAGAACAAACTTACTTATTTATTTTATTAGAATTCTTTTTAATTAAAATAAATAATCTTTCTGTTTTACATTAATTCAAATCTTTATTATTATAATATTACACTTCTTATACATTTTAGATCTTATTTTAGGACTATTTAACCTTTCTTCCTTTCTTATTAGCTACTTACCTTTTTTTAGACATTTTATTTCTTTAATTTAAATCTTTACATTATTGCAGATACGTCTTCCAGTCCAGTCAGCGAACAGGAACGACATTTGCAATCGACCAACTTTTAGATCACGTGGACTTCAAAGAGAGGTAGAATTGATTTATTTTCTTTAGAAATTATTTTTCTTTTCACATTGATTTATTTATTTTAGTAACTGCCCTATCTCTATTATTTTCCATAAGTATATATATTTTGTTTGCTTTAGTAACTTTAGATTTCTTTTACAAGCAGTAAGGACTTCAAACCAACTTCAGGACCATTTTTCTTCTCAAAGGACAGCATTCATAGCGGGATTATCTTCGTCAACATCAAGGAGCCGTTTCTACTAGTGGGTTAACATTAGGAACAACAGGACATTAAGAAGAGGTAGGATTTATGTATTTTTATTAAAACTGTGTTTTCTTTACTTTTACATTTATTCATTTTAGTAAATACTGTAACTCTTTTAACTTTAACCATTGTTTACATGTTTTATTAAAGTTTAGGAACAACATCGCTTTCGTCGGCAACAGGGGACCATTTCTAACGGGTGCAAATAGCTCCCAAGGGTAAGAGTCATCGTACAATGGCTGGTACATCTTCCAATGGTAAGGAACCCCTTTCAACAACGACGATCGTCACTGGTAGGTAAGACTTATCCCTTCCCAATCAGGAACACCGTCAAGGGGTTTGAAGGTAACCCTCTCTGCAGAGGTGGCACTTGTACCACATCATCTGCAGATATGGTTATCTTTAAACAACTTGATGTTGATTCTTGTTTGACAAGGCATAAGTCGAGCCTGTGAATGACGATCTAAGTTGTTGTAAGGTACTCCTAACCACTTGGAGGATGTTTCTGGTCATTGAAAGGTGGCAATTACCACTTGGGGGGTATTTAATCCTGCTAAAAATGGTCCCGCGCTCGAACAGGGGACCCTTGTCCCCCACGGTCTTCGAATTACAAAAACGCCCAACGCAGGGATGCACGACTCGAAAGCACGACTCGAAAAAATGAAAAAATTGTTATTTTTAATATTTAATACTTATTTATTAATTATAAATACATATACACCCCCCTGTATTTTATTTCGGGCCCTCCTGGCCCGCGACCCGCCCCCCGTTTCGCCCCACCCCGTTGACCGACCGGCCCCTCGCGGTACCGGCCGATCGCCCCCCTCAATTCCAGGATCCAGAGTACCAAGTACGAAAACATCGAATTTCGAAGATTTCGAAGTTTAATGATCTCAAGGATTAAAGATATCGAAACAGGAAAGACTGTGAAGTTGAAAGATTCGAGGTAGAGAGCTTCGCACGTCGAAGTCTTCCGAGTTTGAAATTTTCGGAGACAGAAAACATCAACATTTTGATGTTTTCAATCCCCGAAATTTTCCAACCTCGGAAATCCCGAAGTGCGCGGACTTCTTACCCCGAAGTCTTTGAACTCCCCAGACTTACCAATTTCGAGATCTTCATACCTCACGATCATCAAACTTCGATGTCTTGGAAGTCCGAAGTTATCGTACCTGAAGATCCTGGAGGCCCGGTGTCTTCCAATCCCGGAGTCATCATCAGGCCCGGAAGTCTTCGGATCCCGGAGACACCCGGCCTAGTCCCTCGACATCCTGGTTTGAAGTTCTGTATGTCCTGATGTCCTATGTTCTTCTTGGAGCCTCGATGTCTTCAAAACCCAGGCCCGAAGTGTTCCGATCCCGCAGTACACCAGCCTGATTCTACGACGTCCTGGTTTGAAGTACCAGTATGTCCTGGCGGGTGCGGGGCTGTGGTTGGTCCCGATATGTTACTATAAAAAATAAAGAGAAGTTTAGCCAAGAATCTAAAAGTAAATTAAAAATGGAAAGTAGAAACGTTTAAAGAATGTAAATAAAAGAAAAATAAGGATCTATCTATAATATAGTTAATAGAAAAACTAAAAGAAACAGCAGTCAAACAGGAGTTTAAAAAAGAACAGTATGAATGAATAAATTGTAACAATCTGCAAATGTTAAAGTGAATGAGAGGAATTTTTCTAGAAAAGTTTAAGGAATGTAAATAAAAGAAAAATAAGGATCTCTCTCTAATATAGTTAAAAGAAAAACTAAAAGAAACAGCAGTAAAACAAGAAGTTTAAAAAAGGACAGTAATATGAATAAATTGGAACAATCTACAAAAGTTAAAGTGTACAAAAATGTCAGGAAGTCATACATTAACAATGTCTGTCTCTGGGTGTATATCTTGATTTGAAGCCTTGGTGGTGGACCTGATTTGATGTCCTTGAAGACTCCACATCTCTACTGAGTCCGATGTCCATCACTGACCTTGAGTAACTCCACCGAGTGTTCGGTTCAAGCTATATCCAATGTTCTGCATATGTAAAATAAAAAGAAGGATAAAAAAAATTAAACAAATTAAGCTTTAGAAAAGTAATTAAAAAATGTTGGGTTTCTCAAGATTAAGTGTAAAAGTAAAGTAAAAATTTACTTTATTAAGTGGACTTCAATTCATTAATGGCTCTTTCAGTTTTTCACAATGAAATTTCCAAAAACACTAAAACAGTCCGCGAAAATATGAGTTTTTATCAATATTATGAAAGAAGTTACCACTTGGATATACTAAAGCTAACATTCTCAAGTCCGTTTCAAAACCTTAAACAACACAAACATGAAAACTAAATAGACAAATTAATGTAAATGAAATAAAAATCTTAATTAAATTAAAATAAAAAGAAATGATTAGAATAAAGTGAATTTATTTTTTAAAAAGTCCATATAATTAACAAAAAGAAGTAGATATTTTAAATAAATAAGAAATATGAAGTAAGTTAAATTGAAGAGAACCTTCAAAAAGTGTTAAAGTAAATAAAAAGAAAAAACTAAATTGAGTAGTTTATAAGTATTTAAAACAAGGAATGCCTTTAAATAAAACGAAAACAAAACTTTAAATGTAGTTTAAGCAATTAAAAGAAATAATTTCTAAAAAAAAAGCATCAACATAAATAAATGCAAATAATATATATAGCTTTCAAATAAATCTTACAATCAAAGAAATGGTCCCTCGGTGCCCTATTAGGTCATCATTCGAAGCCCTAGGGGTGGATCTGATAGACTCGACATCTCCATTGGGTTCAATGCCCATCACTGATCCTGACCGAAGTTATCGTACCTGAAGATCCTGGAGGCGCGGTGTCTTCCAATCCCGGAGTCATCAGGCCCGGAAGTCTTCGGATCCCGGAGTCCTGCTTCGCTGCGTATGCGGTCCAGGCTGCTCCCAATGTCTTGCATTAGTAAAATAAAAAAATTAAAACATTTCCAATCAGTTAAGATTTAGAAAATACAAAATCCAGTTCTTTGAAATTAAGTTTCTTTTCCATGTCTGACTTAAAATCTACTTGAACCACGAGGACGAGCAGACTACGACGTGGTTAACGTTTTATGTGTTTCCAAAATTAATACTTATCAAAAAACCCCGCAAAAATTTAATGTTCTGTCAATTTTGGAAACAGAGCATCTAGTTTTGAGGCCGCAATCAATTAGCTCACCTTTTTTACGTCCTATATAATCCATTGTAACCATGAAAAAGAGCAGACTTCGATGCTGTCTCACAATTACTCTTTCACCCTAAAAAAAGAGCAGACTTCGGTGCCCTCTCACAATCAGTTTTTCACCATTCTTTAAAGTGTTATCCTGATAATTTTTGAGTTGGCCCATTGGCGTTGTCCTGTGAAAACAAATTAAAGGAAACAGTATTAATAAAACCGCTTTATCACTATATAGTATAAAACAAAGTTGCTTCCCGCTGTCTGTCCCTATGTATGCTTAGATCTTTAAATGTACGTAACGAATTTTGATGCGGGTTTTTTTAGTGGATAGAGTGATTCAAGAGTAAGGATTATATCTATAATACATGCATAATATAGTAGTGAAACCCTGATAATTTTAGAGGTTTCCAATGTGATGTCGTAAAACACATTTTTTTGCGCTTACTTTGCAAAAGCTGGCTGAACCCTACGAGATAGATCAAAATAATGTACTAAAGTATTGTACATCTTAAAAAGATCTACAAAAAAGTCCGTGATAGTATATGTCTATCTCTTAGGGATAACCCACAATAACCATTGTTTATCCTTTACTTTTTATAAGAAATAATGAGTTATTTACGAAACGATTTTAAGCAACACGGCATTAATTCTTATCCAATTAAGTACTTAAATACATTATGCATTAATATGTATCAATATGGCCCTTTACAACATGTAATTTAAATGAATATTTTCGAAGATATCACAGATTTAAAATGCAAACATAGCGGTTGCGGCGCTACCGACCGGGAGGCCTATTTGTATTGTCTAATGACAAAAAAACTGTGAATGTTGTATATAAAGACATTCTGTAGTATATTTATTGTGTTCAGGGGTTGTCTATGATTACCCCCATGCGAAGCCGGGGCGGGTCGCTAATAATAAATAAATTAAAATAGAAACAATGAAAAGTCTGTAAAATTTTAAACCAAGTAAAAGTTAAAAGAAGCCTTATTTACCATCAAAAGACCGTCTCTAATTGTTTAATTGTTCTGATATTTTGGTAGACTTCGATATTTCCATTGGGTTCGTAACATATGCATCTCTGGCTCTGGTTTGCTTCCATGAGTGCGAAATTCAGGCTGTTTCCATTATCCTGAAATAAATAAAAAAACAATATTAAAAAACCTTCAGAAGATAATTAAAACAAGTTGTAGTTTTTTTTTTTTTTTAGTTACGATAAAAATATTCACGAAAATTTGAAGTTTGCCGATTTTGGGATAAAGAAGCGTCACCTTGCAACGTTACAGCTCGCTTTTTTGAAGTCCGATTTATAACCTGTTTAAACCATTAACTTTTCAAAACCAAATTTCGAGATCCATCAAGAAAGGCCAGTAATGTTTATCGATTTTGGAAAACAGTTATCACTATGCGACGCTGCAACTGCCTTATATGTAGTTCAGTTCAAATTCCTTATAAATAATCAGCAGAGCAAACTTCAGTTCATCAAACACCTTATCAATTTTTTAAAATTAAATTTCTAGACGCATCCAAAAAAAAAGCCCAGAAAAGTTTTCGATTTGCTCTTTTTGAAGTCCGACTTAAAATCCCCTGAAACCCCGAGAAAGACGTATCGAAACCCTTCTCAGTCTTACAGGATGTTGTTAATGGGAAAAAATAACAAAGAAAACATGGGGAATTGGATAAACGATTAGAAACGGATGAGTTTATTCAGCGCAATAGTACGAAGCGTTATCTTGTATGAGATGGAAAATATATAATATTAAATTATAAAAATCACATAAAATAGATGTTAAAATTGGGTGGAGGCACTCCGGAATGTATGTTAACAAGGGAAACGAAATTTGGAGAAATCGTGGAGAATACCAGGAGACCTATCAAATATGAGGGTCAGTTGGAGTTTACAAGAAGAAGACGTAAGATAAGATATGTATATGGAAAAAAAAAACATGGGTTTTGGGATAAAAGACAGATATCATAAAGACAGAAAAACAGCGTTGGAAGAAATTATGATATACGTAAAGACAAATTGATGGAATGAAGAATTAAATGAATAGATATAGGTAATATGATAAAGAAAAGATGTGATGAGGAGACAAGAGAGAAGACTTGAGAAGAATACTGTCACGCAGTGAAATTTTAATGAAATCCAAAAAACCATTTTAGACCTTAAAACATATTTCAAAATTAATTAAATATTTTATAATTATAACGTTGTTATTCTTTTCAAATTCATAAAACGTATATCGAGTTCATTCACTTGCAAAATAAGCATATTTGGCATTACACAGCAACGAGGCGGCAAGTGAAAAAAAAATTATCTATTTTACAAGCGGAATTTGACGCTAGTTCGATAGCTCTGGTCAATAGGAAAATTACTGAACTTCGCGAAGTCATCAGTAAGGACTTCGTCGTTTTTTGTCATTAGATCAGCAAGACCAGAGAAACTTCTGGAACCAGTGAATGACCCACGTTGAACTGTGGTCAAATATTCACTGGTTCATCAAAAAGTTTAGCGCGTGGACGGGGATCGATGGTT